AAATATTGAAAAATCATTGTAATATCGTTAACGTATCATTATTGATGATGATTATTTAATGAGCCACCTAGCTTAAATACTATGCTGTATGTCAATCGATGCCTTGTCCAGTTACTGACCGCAAAAAGTCGATATTTTTATACTTTTAGTCAACACCTTTTACAAGAATCAAAAGTTGATTAAAACTATCGGTATAACATTCCCTGACTTGGGGGATATTTTATAAATTAGATTAACATTCATAAATTCAATGTAAAAGTATTTATTGATCAAGCGGTCATTGACTGGTAGGTGGTCAGTGCGTCAGTGCGTTCGAGATCTATCTCTTGACCTGGTGCGGCCTCGCGTGGCCCTCGTCTCCTCGCGTGACACGTACGTAATTGTCGGGAGATTTGTGCGTCGAAGAGGTGGTGGGCCGGCTCTGTCTCAGAACCGTGCGACCCTCGAGCGAATTGACAAATGTATGATTAATAAAGTGTACCATTCGAATACTTGATATAGTGTCTTATCATTGGTTGAATCGTAACCTAAAGATCGATAATGGACTCACGCATTACACTTTCAAAGCGTGCATTAACTTTTATACAATTATTTTGACTTTGCCACTTGCGGGTTTACAGATAGAGGTACTCGCCATCTAGCGTTCAAATAATAAAATAATCTGTCGGAGTTTTGATCATTTCGGAAAAATTTTTTTGTTTCTCTTTAGCTCGCGCAGAACAAATTACGTTTTTGGGTATACATCGTGTGCGTGTGTGCACGAGAGCTTTCCTCGTGGATGGATGTCTGTGTGTGCGTGTTTGTGAGAGAGAGAGAAAGCCGAATATATATACGTATGCACCGAGGCTTTGTCTTATGGGTTATGTACACAAACAATGAAACGCTCTGCGGACTGATATGTCTATGCCGAGAATATATACAAACAAGAGCGAGAGAGAGAATGAGTGAAGCATATAATACTGAAAATACGAAGCGTGAAAATAATCGTATTTTAAGCCTTCAATGTGTATGCCATATCTGTGTCTCTCTCTCTCTCTCACTCTGCGACTGTCTCTGTATAGATAATTCGTTCGCGACATAAAGAGAAAAAGGGAGGTTGCATATACACACACATATACAATACAATTGCATTAACTTCCCACTCGTATACGTCTGTGTGTGTATTATACATGTATAGCTCTTCGCCATGCTGTAGAGTAGAGTCACTCTCCTGCATTATTTCGCGAGAGAGAGAGAGAGAAAGAGAGAGTAAGTGTATGTGTATGTGTACCGGGGAGTTGTATAATGGGTAATGAGGCGACGAGTCACGAGACCCGGATGTATCTCTCTCGCTCTCTTACAGTCTCTGTGACGTTTGCGAGCTCTATACACCATATACATATAGCTGCTGCTGCTGCAGCATGCGGGGTTGATGATAACGCAGCAGCAACAGCCGTGGCTGGCTGCAGCACATGGATGCTGCATTATGGCTGTTGCTGCTGCTGCTGTATATAGCTCCGCAGCAGTTGTGACATTTATATATGTGTATAAGGGCGCTAACTGTCGGGATAAACCCCGTGTATACGATACAGCTGGAAACGCGCGCGCGCGAGTATATAGTTTTGCGCGTTGCGTATATTTGGCTTTTGCTTTTGCCCCGCGCACGGATTGTAATTCGAAAATTTATAGATAGATATAGTACGAAGGCAGTGCAGCGTGGATCTTGGTAATGATACTCGCGGGATTGACTATCGTGGGAGTCTGGTTCAGCAGCAACCTCGAGTTGCGATAATTTATACGATTCTCTCTGTATATCTCTCTCGGTCTCTCTCCGTGTCTCCGTCACGCTTTACCCAGATCTAGGTATATATACGCTAAAGCGCACTTTGGAGAGCAACAAGTATTATTATCCCGCCTCGGCAGATTTTTGGATTATATGTACTACTACTACTACTACGTGTGTTGCACAAAACGCGAGCTGCTGCTGCTCGATCGTGTGTATATACATTTACGTATAAACTATATATAAGCACAGGTGTGACTCGGTCGATCGAGAAACGATTGTGTTTCGTCCACAGCGCACGAAGTGCACGACGACGCGCGGAGATCAGAGGGAATTGCGAGTGGGGGTCAAGTCGATAAAGTGCATAATTGTATAGAGCAGAGAGAGAGAGAGAGAGAGAGAGAGAGAGAGTGAACTGTAACTACACATCGATTGCTGCTATTTCATTTCGATTCGCAATTTGCTGAGATAATATTCGTGTTCCATTTGCTGCTGCTGCTGCAACGCACAGGGATATATGTATTTATACAAAAGGCCGAGGCAGCACTATATGTAGCAGCAGCAGCAGTAGTAGTCTAGCTGGGTGGTGGTGGTAGTGGTGCTTGCAGAAAGTGTGTCCGATGGAAAAGCAATTTTGACCCAAGGAAAATATTATCTTCGAAACTCGCGAGAGAGCTCTTTCTCTTTCTCTCTTTTAACCCTCGAGATTGCCCTCTCGAGACAATATTTTTTTCTCGCCCACACTCGATGCATTATAGAGCCGCTGCTGCGTTGGATAAAAACTACTGACTACCACCGCTACCATCTACTAGAAATCGCTTCTTTTTGCCCTCGATGAAACCTCGTTAGATGGATGAAACAAAAAAAGAATAAAAATAAAAAAAAAATAGATAAAGTATAGAAGAGAATCCAAAAATTGAGCGTCGAAAAAAGATGAAAAAAAAAGAAAAAAACGTCGACCGCCTGTCCGCAAGCTCGCGTGGAGTGGTTGGCTCTCTCTCTCTCTCTCTCTTTATCTCTCGCGCTCATTCACATGTCAAAAATCGTTACCCATAATTTATAAGCCCATTCGACACACATGTACTCACACAAATCTCTGTATTCTATATATATAATGCCGAGGCTTTCGGCTCGCGTCACCTCTTGCTCTTGCGAGCATTAACCTGGTAGCCTACTTTATCGCGCGTTCGTCTGTGTGTACGTATACACACACGTACACACGTGTTCGGCGAGTGTCTGTGTGTGTGCGAGGCTGTGCACTGGATAAGCTTTCGTAAAATACTCAGGGCAGACAAGCGCAACTATCCTCTCTTTCTCTCTCGCTCACTTCACGGAGCCTCGTGTGCTGCAGTGTGTTTGCTCATCGGCCCCGAGGTATCTCTAAGAGAGAAGTGCAGCAGCAGCAGTAGCAGTAGAAGGAGGCAAATTCTCTCTCTCTCACTTACGCTTCTTCTTTCTCCCTTTCTTTCTTTCTTTCCTTTCCTTTTTTTTTTAACTTCAACTCGTGTGCGCCTAGAGCCCACCCGCGCTTTGTTCGGGCTCTGATTCTTCTCGCGTTCATCTCTTGGGAGAGAAAGAGAGAGAGAGACGACATTGTGACTTATAATACGCGCGCGACGGGAGGAGGTTTAAAGATTGGTTCAAGTGGCCTGTGTGTGTGTCTGTCGGAGAATCGCTCGTAATGACTTCAAAGCCGACGAGATTTTTTCTTCTCCAAGCCTTACTAATGGGCAATCATTTGAATTTGTGGTCTCGCAAACGACGACTATTGCCACCGCCACTGCTGCTGCTGCTGCTGCTGCTGCTGCGCTACAAACCAAATGTATGTTCGTAAGCGAGAGAGAACATAGGATGAATATAAAAGAGAGGGAGAAAATACTATATGTATAATAAGTGGACACCAGAAGCTCGAAGCTCCAATTATCAGTTCAGCTGGCGTATAGGGAGAAAACTGTTTAAAGTTAAACTTCCTAAATAAATTCTTTTTTCCTTTAACCTAGCTCGACTCTCTCTCTCTCTCTCTCTTCCCCTTCCATATCACTCCATATTTTGCGGACTAATCCCTACGCAGGCAGTTGTTGAAAATCTAGCATTAACCCAGTTTTCCAAGAGCTCCGACAATAGTTGTTAGACTTATCGACCGTATTTTAACGATAATGCATGCTGAAATCTCTTAGCCTCTCACTTTTAGAGACGTTTACAGGGCATATAGAGTACTACTACTACTGCGCGTTTAAAAATATGAAAAACCTTTGGCGCGATTAAATTTTATATAATTCAATGTGCGGAGAGTGAAAAAAAATGAACCGTGACGGCTGTGATTATCGATGTAATAGCAGAGTCTATGTTATCATTTATCATTTAATCATTTTTTTTTTGCAGAATATTAAAAGTAAAAAAAAGGATAAGAGTTTGACTAAGGATGTTATAAAGGGATAAGCTTCTCGGTATCTTCTGCAGAAACAACAAGCTGCTGCAGCAGCGGCAAAAGCTTTTGCTGAAGCAATTGCATATAGCTATATGAAATAGGATGAAAAGAGAGAGAGAGAGAGAGAGAGAGAGAGAAAAGCTGGGCCAAAAGTGATTATAGTCTTATATCTCGGTAAATAAGAGGCTTCTTTTGATGAAATAGGATACGTCTGTACATTTATTCTTCTCTCTCTCTCTCCATTTCTATCTCTGATGCACTTCATCCACTGAATAGAGCGGTGCACAGCACAGGGCAGAAATGATTTTCTGCTTCTATCTGTACATATAACCCTCCCCGTCTAGTTCGTCCTCCATTATTCGCGCGCAATTCATATACAGCAAGGTGAAAATAAAGCGCATTTTTTTCCCTCTTTTATCATTTTTTTGTTCCGTCGCTCGCGCGCGACACGTCGTTATAATTTTTCTCATCGGGGGAAGGGGAGGAGGGTTAAAACTCCCGCGAACAATGACCGAGCGATAATTGGAAGCAAAATTAATCGAGCCAGACGTTAATTGCTTCGTTCCCGTGTGTCGCTTATATGCACTTCCTCCTTCCGTTTCTCGCGCGCGCGTGGAACTACATATTATATACATACGTACGCAACACGTGCAACGTACCCTCTTTCCGATACATACGTGTTTATTACGTGCCGTGCTCGTCGTAGGGCGACAATGAAGAAGAGCAAAAGGGGATATGTAATAATAATTATGATGATCGATGCGTCAAAAAAAAAATTTGTACAAAAAATTGTATTCATCGAGTACTCACCACCTCGGCAACGTTGCCACAGCCCTCCCTCATGCCATCTCCGTCGGTGCGTCCTCCTGCAACAAAGTATAACGAAAAAATGAAAATACCGAAAAAAAAAATATCCGGTGGATTGTTAATCAAATTTTCATCGGTCACATCTGGCACTCATACGCTCATGTTATTAAATTTTTTTCCCGCACGGTGAGTTCGAGTGTCTGTGTGTGTGTGCGTGTGTGTCTGGTTGGCTGCACGTATAATAAAGGTGATCGCGAGGCAGATTTTTGCCGCTTGTTAATTCGCGAGAATTTTTAAATTTCGCTTATTCTCTCTTTCTCTTCCACTTCCTCGATACAGAGAGTGATTCATTTTTCATCGAAATGAAATATAAATAATACGCTCTCGAGAGCTAATCTGTATATAATAATCACTTTTGTATCAATGAGGATGAAGCGACAATAATAAATAACCAAAATTTCATGATTCACACACGAACGACCCGATCGCGATACAATATACGAATATATCTGTATAAATACCACGGTGTCGACGTCCCCGCGTTCGAGCATTAACTAAAAAATATCATCGTCAAAATACAGCCGAAGAGTGCGGCGTGCGATTCTTTTCTCTCCTCTGACCCCGGGAAGACGAAAGAGCCGATGATACATTTTGAACAGACAACTCACGCGCTCGTTCACACACACACAAACATCATACACACGGATTATATAATTGCCGCATCTTCGCTTCGCTCGAGCGATGATCGACGAGTAAGGGCCCAGAGCAGAGCTCGGAAATGTTTTGCCCGGCGCGCGAAAATCTCACTACACGCCCGTTGTATATATGTAATATGAATATGCACTTTTCTCTCTCTCCCAGTGATTAGTTTCTCTCTTTCCCTTCTCGACCTTGAGCGAGAGCCGCCGAGCCGTACATTACACACTGTGTATATACGCGCGATGATGGATGGTCGGATAATTGCAAGCGCGCGGTAACTCGCGAGCGGGCGAGAAAGAGGAAAATTTTTTTCCCCCGCCGCGTTGAAACATCGCCGTAGCCACCGCTGCCACCGCGAATTATTAAGTCATCTTCGGAGAAAAACATCGTTTCGTTTTGAAAAGCGATGAGCACACAAGCGTACGGACTCGCACAGAGGGGGCAGTTCAGGTAAATTATCCAGAAGGGTATGGAAAAATGTTTAAAGTATGTAAAAGCTTTGGCAACGTATCATATAAAGAAATACTATAGTAGTCTATAGAGTATGGGTACGAACGAATATCTACCAATTGCCCTGTAGCGGCCAAACAATATAAGTAATTCTTTGATTACAAATCATGTCACCAATTAAATATTTCATTAATTCCAACGAAAACGCATAGAATTATTTAAAACCCTAAAGGGAGTTTGCACTACTAAGAATATCCCTGTTGTAAGATAATAGAAAAACCTATATGAGTCATAACATTTATCGACACATTTCTTAATTTAATTATTCTTATTCTTAATTTTATCGTTCGATTAAATAAGTGTAATTCTTTATAACGCGCAAAAGTTCGCGAACGCCCGCTCGTGAAAACGCGGTGCTTTTTAAAGGCAACGAGTTTACCCGCGTAATATACATCTAATACGGTCGAAAAACTTCTTCTACTGCTGCTACTGCTGCTGCTGATGTTCTCGGTTAATCGGCAAATTGTCCCATCTGTTTTATTTTTCAAGGCGAGAGCTAATCTAAAACTTTTTCTCCTCTCTCCTCTTCTCTTTCTCCTCCTCCCACCCCCTTTCTTCCTCTCTCTCTCGCTGCGTTGAAAACGACGACAAGCAATAATCGCGCGGTGGTTGCATAGAGCACATGCCAACGGTATACCATCTACAGCAACTATTACAACTACTACTACTACTAGCACCATAAGCGCATAGATATAAAGCAACGAAGACGCTGAAAAATGGCTGGAAATAAATCCGCAGCAAAGTTGCATCGCTCGCCTAGCTCGCTCGCTCGCGCATTAAGGCAAGGAAAAATTGTGCTCGCGCGCAATATAAAGCTACCTCACTAGACTACACTCTTTCTCATTAGAATTCAACGAGGAGATTTCCTCGCGCGCTCGCACACAAGAGAGAACTGAAGCGCTTCCTACTTTTTTTTTCGTTCGTTCGTTCGTTCGTTCTTACCTCGGGGCTAAAACACAAGCTTCTCTGGCTCGGGTTTGTGAACCCACGCGTATGTGTGTGTATGTGTATTTTTCGTAAAATTAAAAGAATGGTAGCTTCGCTGCTCTCGAGCGCGAAGGAAATGGTTAATTCAATTTTCTTAACGAATTTGCCCCGAGACAACGACGACGACGAGCGAAAATTCATTCGTCCATTTTCATGGGTATACACGCAGCGTGTAAAAATTGATGAAAGAAGGAGAGAAAAAAAATGAGGAAGAAGCTGTGCTCCACTGCTCGCAATTATATTTTATTATATCCGCGTGATTCCACGGACATAAATACGGTTTTGCGCGCTCGCGCCTGCTTAATTATATAATATTGATCTTTCGCAGCTGTGCTGCTGCTATATGGCTAGATTAGCATATATACCATCGTAGTGTGCGAGTGTACCTATACGTATGTGTATATGATTTTCCCCGCGAGAGAGAGAGAGAAAGAGGGTATAAAAGAGAGCTCGTGATTTCCGCTTCATCAATGCAGCCTAGTCCAATTAAGGATACTCCATTATACACAAGCGTATATATGCATGCACGTGTATGTGTGTATATATGAGTACGTATCCAAATGATATAACGGGATCGTGCATATATCGCATATATACATATAGGTATATATCTACATTTCGTGGCAAGGGATTTTTCCTCTCTCACTCACTCGCTCACTCGCCAATAATAGCCTATTATTTTTACAATGCTCTCTAATAATCGTAAGATTCGCTTTTTTTTCGTTCTTCCTTCTCTCTCTCTCTAGCTCTCTGTCTACCCGCAGAAAAGAAAAAGATTCCTCGGACGCTTTCGAAAAATCTCTGTCTCTCTCTCTCTATCTCCGTCTTTTTCTGGCAGCGCACACAGGCAGACAACAAAGCCCTTTTGAAACGAGCGCTATTAACATGCAAAGTACGTGTATATTCTTACATATATAAACGTGTGTGTGTGTGTGTAGTCTTTTCTTTTCAGAAACACAAATTCACGTATACGTACGGTATATGTATACTGTAAGTACGTCTGCCTCGCGGCTTTTCTTCGCTGCGTTATGTTGCATCTTCCTTTCTCGCGAGCAAGCATGTGTACATATACTCGCGCAACAACAACAACAACGGCTGGAGCACGTCGTTTTCAAGGTTGACCGTTTTTTGCAGTGCGCGCATAATTTGCGAAATACTTTATACGCTCGAAGTTTATGTACCGTGTATAGGGCAAGAAGAAACTACGAAACACTCGATCGATGTATTACAGCGCAACGCAGACAAGTTTTTCTTTAATTCTCTACTTAACTTTTTATACGCCCTTTTCTCATCGAACGAGCGAGCGAGCGAGAGAGAGAGAGAGAAAAAAAAACATTTTTTTTTTACGCAGCCGAGGAATGCGCAATATTTGATACATAACGCGAGCGTGAACGTTTAATCGCCGGTTTTCTCACCCACGCGCGAGAACGCACGCGAGAACATAATGTGCTATGGTACGAGTGTATAATATAATGCAACTATACTCGCGCGCTAATATGAGAAAAAGCATTTTTTTATCTCTCTCATTCTCTCTCTCCTTTATTATTATTTTTTTTTTTTCATTTTTGCCTCTTTACGCAAGAAATGCAATTTAATGAAATAATGATAATGAGCGCGTTGCATGGCACGCAATCGTTATACAACACACACGAGCCGAACACAATAGCGACATAACTATCTCGGAATCGAATTCAATTTTCTCGTTCTCTCTCGCTCACCGGACTCGAATCGAAAATTGACAAAGTAATCGTTATTAATTAACGGTTACCGGCCTCTACTTTATACTATATACATGTATCTGCATGTGTGTAATGTGCGTAATGAAAATACATTAAAGCTCAGCGTTTCGTTGTATAGGCAAACTTTAAGCATTAACGATACGCGCCGCGTTCGAACCGTACCGATATTGTACTTCAAGGCCGCCGTGCACCGAGGGCATATTATAATACGCACAAGATCATGTAAAAATTTTCAAAAAAAAAATAAAACAAAAAGGATCGTAATAATACACTTGTAAGATTTCTTTTTGTTGAATTATTGTTTCCGAGTATAACTCGTTGTACGTACGTACGTATCACGTACAATGTATGTGCGTACGTGTGTTGGTGGGGTATAAGAATTTTTCATCGTTCTCGAGACAAACGACCCTGCCTGCGTGGTTTTTATCCTCCTTTTTTTCTGTCTCTCTCTCTCTCTCTCTACTATCTCTCGAAATTGCAATTGTGCAGAAATTCCCCGTGTGTCACGCAACTCCGGGTTTTATTTTATTTCTATTTTTCTTTTTTTTTTTCGTTTCTCCTGCTCTACCCACACGTATAAGCAAGCAAGGCATAGGCGTGTGCGGTAGTAGTAATTTTCGTGCGTTGGACTCGTTCGGCGGTGGACTATAACGATTGTTTACGACGATGTAATCAAATTTCCCACTCCTTTTCTCTCTCTCTTTTCGCGGGGTTGCATACCTTTTTTCTCCTTTTTTTTGGTTGTAATGCCGTCGAATATAACCGGGTCAAGTGTGCCGGCAATTTTTCAACCCGATAACACGATTACGACGTGCTCCACTACGTGTACACGCGTACACGTATATATACGTATCAATTACTTAGCGTCCGGTTTTAATTATTATTGCGCGGCGGCGAGGAGAGGCACACGGAGAGTAATAACTCGTCAAAATTAGCGGTGCGTAGTATATAGTAATACACGCGTTGCTGCTGCGGAGAATAAAAAAAAAAAAAAGTATACCGGCATAAATCGCGGTTTATGCACACACAGCACAGCGCAGCACGGCACAGAAGAAGAAAAAAGCCAGGCATAAGTAAACCAATATAAATACGCACGCGCGCATATAGAAAGCCCCATAATTTCCAAAACAACAACGACGACGACAACGATTATATACGGCTGCTGCTGCTGCTGCGGCGAGCGCAACAGCGATCGAGAAGTATGCCAGACGTAAAACTCGGGCTCGAGCCACGCCACAACGAGCTGTTGCAGTAGCGATACCGATCCTATCTTTCGCGCGCGCGCGCGCGTTGCAGCCAAGCCCTGGTCTGCTTTGGTGTGTGTTGCTGCTGCTGCTGCTGCCGAAAAAGAAAAAATTGCACGCGGCAGGCAACGCACTATGCAGCCGCAACAAACATGGATGTCAATGCCACGCCTGCATGCATGCACGTATATACGCGGGAGAGAGAGAGAACCGCGTAAAACTGGTTCGCGCGCGCGCGCGCGAATATCCATATAACCCCCCACGCAATATGACTCTCTTCTCTCTTTCAACTCGCTGCTCTCTATACTATATACATACTCGTCTCGCTGTTGTTGTTGCTCTTTTGCACTCTGTCTCGCGTGCGTACTACGATGTAATAATGCTTTTAACGTATTATAATAATAATAGAGTTATGAGAATTATTTTTTTACATATTCTGCATGTAAAGCGAAACTATAATCCAGAATTTATCGATCGGAGAGCGAAAGAAAAAAATACGCCGAAATCGTCGTCGCGTGGATATTATCTTCGAAATAGTGTCACAGCGCGGGGCTATTAATATAATATTATATAGAAGACTCTTTTTCGCGAAAACGATGAAACGAAAATATTATTATTATATATATTTTATGATATTTAGCAGAACGAGAAAAACCGTATAGAGAGATGGATGTCGGTCAGACTCGTAGTATAATAACGGCCTCCTAGGAAGTAACGCGAGACGACGACTACGACTCCCCGTAAAGAAAAAGAAGTAGTTGTGCAACACGCGCAAAACTACCTTATACTATATAGCACAAGCCGTTGCCGTTGCGTTGCGTCGCGTTCGTTCGTTTTTAACCGTCTTTCGCAGAGGTTTGAATTGGCGCGCGGGCGCAGCTTACACACACACACACACTTATATATACTGTTGTGCTGAGCCATGCAGAAGAGAAAAGAGAGAAAGAGAGAGTTGAAAAGAAGGAGGCTGCTGCTGCTGCAGCGCGTAGCGTATGTATAGTAAGGATGGTGTGCTGCTGTATAAGAATGCGCCGGCCTGCCTGTGATTCTGCACGCTATGCAAAAAGGCCCCACGCGCTCGTGCACAATAGCAAATGATAATGCCGAAGCTTTTTCAATGAGAGCTCGAGAGAGAGGAGAGCCGTGTGGAATTTCTTCATTTCTATTAATTTTCTTTTTCTCCTTCGTTTAGTCGCTGCACTGCTCCCTCTGCTCTATAATGCAATATATAGTTATTTTCTCTCACTCTCTCTCGTAAACGCGAGAGAATCAACGAATGAAATCGCGAGGAATCAATAATTTCTCTGTACACAGACGTACACACACACACACGTGAGTTAACGTATACTACGTATAATACAACAGTACTATAATAACGTGCTGTATCTGTGTGTGTGTTAGGCATGTATATAAACATGCACGCGCGGCTTTATCGTAATGAATCATCAAACAGTCTGCACTCGCCGGTGCAAACACATACACACACATACTTTTTTTTTTAATCGATCTCACTTACTCCACTATGTGTTCGTGTGTGTGTATATTTTGTTTGAACTATACATATAATAATATGTGTGCTGCACTCGCAGTGAGAGAGAGAAGAGAGAAATAGATACTCGCGAGATTGCATTGAAGTCTATTTGTATCGAAACAATTAAACCATTGAATTAATTTTTTTTTTTTTCGTTGCTCCGCTTCGCTTTTCGTTGCTCTCTTTACGTTGCCTACATAATACGTGTATATATGTGTATCGATAAATGCGCGCATAATTGTTTGTGTGCATCTGTGTGTGTACATAAATTTCTTCTATAAATACGTGCAGTGTAGCTGCACTGCCGATCGACTTTATATCAAAGCGCGTTGTGTGTTATGTCTATACCTATACCGTACTCGCGGGCGCGCGCGCGAGTTTGCCTCATACATAACGTAACGCATTCCGTCTGCTAGTTTATATATTTTCGAAATGAATTAAGTACACGACGTACGTTTATGTGTGTACACACACGAACGATCGCAATGACCATTCATAAAAAATATTCTCATGACGTACGTATAAACGTGTACCTATATGTGTATGCACACACGAGCGCGAGGCACACGGCACTTATCGATCGTTCCAAGTGTTATCGCAAAAGCAAAGCTATGCTGTACAATAATATACGCTCGATAAGCCCGTGCTCGCGCGCGTGTGTATATTTCCATGCATATGTATATGCATATCGCGGAGCAGAAGTATCAAAAAAAGGAAAGAATCAAAAAACAAACAAAAACACCGGCTCGCTCGCTCGGTAGAGAGATTCGATTTCGTTCGGGGATTTGAAATACCGAAGAGTTAAAAAAAAGAGTACAAGAGAGTCGCAGGCACAAGGCGGGCGGGCTCGACGACGAGACTCACTTTTTTTATGAACCGGCAGAATTTTGTCCGCGATGATCCTCTCCTGGTGGCAATCCAGATTTGCGCTGCTCCGAAAAGGACAACAGCTTGACGTCTATACGTCGTCGTCGTTGTTTCGTTTAATTCGCACAATTATTTCTTACACCGACTCGAGGCCGAGTGAAATATTTACACAACAATATATTTTTGCACTCGGGGAATTTTCATATACAAACACACTGTTTGAACGCACAATAACACACACGGAGACACTGATTTCCGCTCGAACGCACACACACATATACACACTTGTGGAGCAGCGGCACACAGAACGACGCACAAATTCTCTCTTCTTTTCCTTCCTTTTGTAATGCGATATATATTCACACACTGCAGCAGACACGGGGAATTTGTGAATTTCGTCGCCGTAGTATCATCTCGCACCTGATGTGTAGTAGTATAGCGGCGGCAGCATCAGCGGCTGTATCCCTCACTATATACGTATAAATACGGAGTCACGGACACGAGTATAAACACTAACACACTGAGACACAGAGACGAACACTGAGAGACAGAGGACAGGATTTGGCGCGTCAACCGCGATGTGTTACACCGTTGGCATCTTCTTCTTTTTTTTCTTCTCTCTCTCGTCTGTCGCACACGTTTACTTTTGTACGTATATAATAAATATACATACAAACGACTGATTATAATATATAAGCAGCTCCGAAATGCGTGTATATATACACACAAACACACTGATACACGCACGAATATATATTTTATGTATATATACTCCTGTAGATACACACACACACACGTATATAAAGCTGCAGGAACTGTCGTCGTTTATACACTGGCGCTAGGATGCAGACGCAAATCGGTATCAAGCAACCGATATCTCGCGCGTTCCGAAGCTGTGCAGCAACAGTACAGCAGCTCTGATTTCAAACTCGGCGTTCGACACGCTGCTATATACATATAACGACGCACACTACACTACACTACACACGACGGAATTCAGCGAGCTACTACTCTATACGCGACGACGAGTTGGCGAAAATTTTTATTCGACAACCGCGTGTGTTGCTGGATCTTGCGTGTGTGTGTGAGTGTGTGTAAAGAAGCACAAGATGTCGGCCGACGGTTGACTGGTGTGTGTGTGTATAATACACAGAGAGCAGTCAGACACTCACACACTCACACACGCGAGATTCTTGAGGTACACATACACAGACATACACGCATGTGTGTGGTATAATACTGGCTAAGGTGTATATTATAATTCAGGCTTGGGAAACACGCCGAGCAGCGGTGGCAGCGGCAAGTGGCGGCGACGGCGGCAATATATATATACACACGCGAGAAATTTCACATACACACACTGACACGCACTTGTACACAGTTCGCGCTCGACGTCGGCTGGCGGCGGCGGGCACTTTTACATACGTATATATATGTATATATGCACATATAATACACACACGGCACACACCGGCCAAGGTGACTGTAGCACAACTACTGAGAGCTCGGCGGCTCTCGGCTCGCGTGTATCTACCTATAGGAGGGATATGTACTATACTACAGGTAGTAGTATATAGTATTTAGTATATAGTGTGGTTGAGGTCTCGCGGGCTCTGCACGACGACGACGATGAAAAAAAAAACACAAAAAAAAAAGAGAGAGAGAGAGAGAGAGAGAGAGTAGAGTCCCAAAGAAGGCCAATGGCGAAATGCCTTAGAGGAGACGGCGAACCAATCGTCGGAACGCGTTGATGTCGGTTGCCGTGCGTTCGCACAGAGAGAGTCCTATATACTCTACTCTACCTGGCGAACGCTTCTCTCTCTCTCCGTCTTTCTTTTGTATATATGTACCTGAGGCATGCACTGTAGCATACATCGTCGATGTGTATAGTGAGTATATATTTGCGGTGTGGTGGTGGTGGTGGTGGCCCCCCTGTGCCACCGCACGAACTCCTCTTATGCATGTGTGTGTGCGCGAGTGTGTGGAGGTGCGCCGTCCTTTTTGCACTCGCGATATCGCAGAGCGTATAATATGTATACAGGTATACACACACACACACACACACACGGTGCATCAATACACGAGCTCGCGCGCGCGTGTGTACGTCGTGTTGCCTGCTAAGGCGCCGTTTACCTGCAGCACACGACTTGGCGTGTTTTCTTCCTCTACTATATATACTACTACTTATATACTACGCTACTATATATACTATAACTGCTATGTCGCGGAGGTGAAGAAGAAGCAGCAGCGGCAGCAGAGGGTTTGGGACGAGGGGGAGGGGGGAAGAAGAAGACGACCGTTTGTGTTATTATTCGCGAGCGTGTGGTATAAGCTAAAAACTTATAAACTCGCGGTTATAGGCGATCGTCGTCTGTTTCGTCCTCGTTCGGCATCCGCGCGACTCTGTATATTAAATACGCGGATTTATCTACGACTATGTAGCATACATAGTGCATCGAACGAGCGAGATCGGCAATAAAAGGGGACGTCCCGTGGTGCGATATCGTACTATATACGTAATGTAAATATCGAGCAAACAAATATTATTTTATATAGGTACACGCGGGCGCGGAGATCGACTTTGAAAACGATCTCGCGGATCGAAATTTCGAACGGTCGGCAGTCGCAACGGGTTCGGGTAGTGGAATTCGAACTATTTTTTTTTTATAACGGATTTATTTTCATGAAGTTCAGCTTCGTTAATTGACGAAGACTACAGGTTATTACAAACAATACTACTACTACTACTATTATGTACGTATATCGGGGACAATTTTAAGGACTCGACACTCGCATCAGGCCGAGCTATACGGAGCAGATGATCGCGCCGCATATATGTGTACAGTACGTCTGCTATTGCGCTCCGCGCTGCGAGTTCTCAGGTGTTTTTCGCGCGCGATATATATATAGGTACCTCACGTGCCTGTGTGCAATATATTTTCGGAGCTCTCGCTCGCTCTCTCTCTCTCTCTACTGTCTGTTCGGCGCGCATACAGGTCCCCATCGTGTGAGATGGGCCGTACACACGCTCAGACACACTCGCACACACACACACATACAAGCGATGATGATACCTGTCTCTCGTATTAGTGTATGAGTGTGTGTGTGTGGATGCTGTGGGGCATCTCTCTCTCTCTCTCTCTCTCTCTTTCTCTCGCTACGCGGCGAAACCCAGCGCGGAACGGGGGCCGCATACCACACTCGTGTCAGTGTGCTAAAAGCCCGAGGAAGAGAGAAATTCTTTCCTCTCTCTCTCTCTGCGCGCGAGTTTATATATAGAATCGTTGCTGCTGCTGGGCCCGGTGAACGAATGTAACGTTTTTCGAGTGTATACGCCGGCCGCCGCATTCGCAGGTGCTTCGTCGCGCCGAGCTCACACGTATATACTAACACAGATAGAGAGACAGAGAAAATAACGTAATTATATCGGCGGTGTATATTTGTATGTATGTGTGTGTGTGTGTAAAAGAGAGAGGGCATACACACACATACAATAATATCGGGAGAAGGGACCCAGAGCCAAGAGGTGTTTTCTGGGACACACGGTCGCCTGCGCTCATGCCAGCCTGATACCTGCTTTTTGCTCGACTTCCTTGTTTTACCCGAATATGTATAGTGTATAAAAAGTTCGGTGGAGAGTAGAGGGGGGATTCCCCGCGTCGCCTATACGTAATAACGGCAACTATATGTACTGTGGCTGTGTGCATTCGCGTTTTACGCGCGCGAATTTTCCGACTCTCGACGATAAGTATCTATCTCGCGGCACAGATATATAGCTATATAGCAGATTTTTGAATGTCGAGCGCGATATAATGTGTATTACGCTTACCGGTTTCCGGTCACCGGCGCCGTATTCAAAGTCGCCGCTATTACCACTCGTAGCATTATAAGTACTATGTATATAGTTGCGGCTAAACAACTCAATTTATTTATTCATACGTATGATACACGCATGTGTGTGTGCGTTTCCGCGAGGTTTAAATACGTTTACGATACGGCCTCGAGCTTATTATTAATAACTTAATTTTAGGATCATCATTATTTTTTTTTTATCATCATCATCGTACGAGACGAGTGCTACGAGTGAGTATGCTGCGTATAATATACCGAGCAGTCGTATATAATATGCGCGGGGAGCGAGGCAGACGTCCGATTTCGCGCGTCTCTGCGGTTTTGCTCTTCGCGCGCTCGCGCCAAGACGTTTTACGCTAATGAGAGCTCCGCGCGCAGAATCGGTGAAAATTATACCAACTTAGAGAGAGAGAGAGGCCGTTTTGCGAGCATGTATAACTATTTCGTGCTTTACGAGAGGTGGTATATACAAAAGAGCCACGCTCGATTCATATGGTAAGATGCATATTTTAATCGAGAGCTTCCTTGAATGCCTCTGCGCTATCTATGCCATTATATAAATCTATATCGACTCGCGGTATTAGCACGATATTTCGAGTTTGATTCGAAACTATTTCGATTGCTCTGAAGTATAATTTTTTTCTGTATTTATATCGATGAAAAAGGTATGGACAATTTTGATAATTACGTACTTATTAAGAAAAAAAAAACGAAACTTATTTCCATAAATTTATTTACAGAATAATATGGAAAATGTAAAACATCAAAATCTTGGAATACCAAGAGATGCTATACAAGTATGCTCATTTCATAGCCGCCAAGAAAATGATGTTACAAATCTTTGTTCTTCAGCTCCTGGACTATCATTTCGCAGATCTCGATCGGCAGCCTATACTTTATCAGCTCCCACCGGAAAATTCCTCTTGATAGTTTATCACATAAGTGCGTGGCGATAGAAGAGTCCTGACAATTTTTTCGAGTTCACAGACAACTCGAATTCCGTGATCGTAGATCTTATCGTCGCGATACCGAAATTTCTCGATATTGTTGGTCCAACGCCTCCCAAATTTCGTGCCTGGCGAAGAATTCGCATTCTTTTTGTCGAGACACTCAACGCAGGACATCGGATCGGATGCCAGTCTCGATTTGAATTACGACAAAGATTACACGCGTCAAGCCTGACCATCGGGCTATTTTATCTAGTTTCTATTTCAGCCGCTAGATGGCCAATAGCGCTGGGGAATCGCTCCCGCTAGAAGGTTATCATTGACAGTCTATAAGTCCATAGAATTCATGCGTTCCATCCATGCGTTTCCTCCTTTAAAGAAATGTTGACAATTTATGGTTTGCAAGGCTTCCCGAGCACCAATGGAAAATTTTAAAGCTGTTTTCATACATGCTTGTCTCATGTTCTTTCATTCGGAACAAATTTCCGAACTAGATTTTTGCAACTTTGACCAAATAATACTGAAACGTCTCGTAGTATGTGCGAGCAGCTGTATCGCATATTACACCTATTATACGCGCACGAGAAATGCAAAATACAACGGCCCACTGTGCGCAATACGTATGTAATACGGAACTCGAAAAAATACGCAGACGCGGAGCTCGAGGTCCCATAAATAAAGATGAAAACACTTTTTTTTTCTTCATTATATTATAATATCCATTCGCAGGGCGCGTCTCGACCAGCCAGCAGCAACAAGAATCTGATCCGCTTTTATCTCCTGCTGCTTCTGCCGTATTATAATCCGACCGCACCTTCGTGCCTACTACTGTCATCATCATCATCGTATCAACAGAAATCTTTTGTCCA